GCAGGAACGAAAAATATTACAGAAATATTGTCACACACACACACACACACACACACACACACACACACACAAAATAGTTGCTGTGTTATTTGTGCTTGCTATGTGCTAACTACTATTTTAAGTAATGTGCTGTGTTAATGTGTTCAATATTTACTGCAACACTAGGGTTTCACTCATTGGAAAGAGGAAAAAGATCTAAGGACAACAAGGATACTGTATAAATTTTTCAAGTTTTTCTATTAGTAAGTATAATTAGGATTTTTTAAAAGCTGGAAATCTGAACCATGATCCTTCATTACTATGTGCTAACTACTATTTTAAGTAATGTGCTGTGTTAATGTGTTCAATATTTACTGCAACACTAGGGTTTCACTCATTGGAAAGAGGAAAAAGATCTAAGGACAACAAGGATACTGTATAAATTTTTCAAGTTTTTCTATTAGTAAGTATAATTAGGATTTTTTAAAAGCTGGAAATCTGAACCATGATCCTTCATTACTCTCTCAAAAGCTCCAAGGAATTTCAGGTTAAGAATTTATGTTGAACATACATCAATGGCTCATTTTAAAGTTTCACATTTGAACGTAATTGTTCTCCCAAGCCCTAAATAATCACACAGCAGGTAATTTACTGAGTAAGGGGCTCCGGCTTTCTTCCTCTGTCACCCAAGTAGTCCTGAAAAGTTAACATGAACAGGTATGATCCCGTTTGTATCAAAACTCATCCCAAAGCTTTCTTATTCTCATCAGCAATCATTTTTGAGAGTCTTCTGTGTTGCCTTTTGAGACCTTATTTATTTGTCTACACCCTCTTCCACCACACTCAGTTTGACCTTTACTTCCTTCCCTTCTGCTCTTCCGTCTCTTCTGCTTGTTACTGGTCCTCAAGATCAGGTATCTACACATCAGACACATATGCCAGTAGAGTAAAGCAGTGGGATCTCCTGCATCTCTCCCTGCTCAGCAGCAACATATCTCTACCACCCATCCTGGGTTCTCCCTGAATAGAGTCTTTAGGCACTGCAGCAGAGGCTGAGAAGGACAGTAACAGAGTGAAACACCTCACCACTGCCGAGAGCTACAAATGCAAGATAGGGATGTCTAAACCTATCCAGATAGCCAACTGTACTCCATTGAGTTGGTTCAAATGGAGGAATTCCGTAGGCTAGTGGCTGAAGGCGTGGACCTAAGACTCAGCTGTGTAATTTGGAACGTCAGTGCTGCCCTTTGCCATAGATGACCCTAGCTAAGCAACTTGGCTGTCTGTGTCTCTGTTGTCTTCACATAGAGGTAGCATATAAAAGCTTCATCTCAACACTTGGTGAGAATATACTGCTATCAAGTGCCAGCAGTTATTACTTAGAGTCATAGGGCTTTAGATATTTTGACCTTTTAGAAATCAACCCCTAACTCTTACTGATTTATCTGAGAGCACATAGACTTTCCTACACCATACACCACACCACTGCCAGCCTGTCTGGAATATGACTTTATGCTTCATTTAAGAAAACCTAGTGTTTGTAAGATGTTTTTCATCATGAGGTGCTGAGCTATTACAGATCCAGTCCTCTTTGCTGGGGCTAAAGACAGAAAACTAGACAGGATTAGGATTCCAGAGATGGGTACGGAACACAGGGGAGCAAATAGCATTCACCTCAGCCTCAAAAACACAGTTTCGGGCAGTGAAGTAATCAGCCACACACAGACCTGGAATGTGAAAAACAAAAACACAGGGCCCTGTTGACCACATAATTCATCCCTTCAATTCCTGGCCACCTGCAGGCTGATACGAACAAGTCTAATGCAGATTAAAAAAGGCCTCATACACCCATCAATCCAGGAGCTCAAATCTTATCTTTTCAAAGTCATTTTACTTCTGAAAAGCTGGGAGCACAAAGGCAAAGGCAAGCTTATAGGATTCTCATGGTGCTGGTCTAGTTCTAAGGAGCCTCTGTGTACCTTCTCTGATCTGGGGAATAAGCGGAATGCGATTGGTATCTCCTCATTCGCACCAACAGGCGCCAAGAGCTGCGTTTCCAACAGATTCATGCTGTTCACAGCCTTCCTGGGACCTGGGGAAGCTGGTAGAGGGTTAGCCCTCACGCACTGTAACCTCGCCTGTCCCAAATTAAGTGTCTTTACTGCTAGCTCCTGCTGGGTCATTCTCTTTTTTCAGCTCTCCGAATCCCTGTGTAGACCAGCCCTTTGCCTGTACCAAAGACTTCTGCTAACAGGCAGCTCAGGATAGGGGGCGTGGGGGACGGGACAAGGCTTTGCGATTCCTCTCCTCCTTCCGGTCATATTTTACCATTTCACCCTTGCAGGAGCTCTTCTAATATATATGGGAATACTGTTTTTCTCTTCATATTTGCTTCTGCCATTTTAGCAAAACCATAGAGGTTTTCCCCTCCCACCGCACACAAAAAGCCGTTAGGAAAACATTTTAATGATCTTTAACCACAACATCACACCTGAAGGACTACAAAGAAGAAAGCTTTAGGGACCCACAGAGGGAAGCTAAATTCTCAACCCTGAGAGGAGAGTACAGCTAGCTACTGCCAAAGCCAGAGTCAGGGGCCAGACTCCCTCAGTCTCAGCTCAGGCCCCTGCTTCCATGGAGAAGCTGTTTTGATGCCTTCACCTCTGATCTATAACGTTTGATAACCCATCGATGAAGACACCACGAAGATGTGTGTGGGGTAAGGAATAGCAGCCTGCATTCGCAAGGGAGGATAATAGACCAATATACTTCATTCAGTTCAAGATGCAACACGAAGCCCGGGGGTGTGGGAACCAACTACTGGATTTGCTAAGCGATGTCCCAGAAACTCCATTTCCCTTCTGCCAACTCTCCGGTTCCTAATTCAGAAAGTTGGAAGAGCTTCGAGGCCCCTTGGAGAGAGAAAGAAATGTCACCCAGGACCCCCAGGGACGAAGAGGGCAGAGAAAGGTTGGAGGGAGGGAGGGAGGAAGGGAGGGAGCTGGACACGGGCGACGGAAGGAGAGTCAGGGACCCTAGGCAGGCGCAGCTCGGATAAACCGTTTTTGGAATGATACTGAAAAAGTTAAAAGTGAAACGGCGGCTCTTGCGGGCTGCAGTTTTATGAGTTTGGGGTGCGCTTGCACAGGTCTGATAGTTTTGGGGTCACTTCGGCGGGAATGAACGGAGAGCCCGACTACAGCGAGGAGGGAAAGGGGGGACTGGTGGGAGGGCGCAGGTCCCCCTGGGGCGCTGGCTGAGCAGGACGAGCCCCGCCCAC